TTGGTGTCCTTTTCCAGGCATTTTTTTCCATTCTCCTGCTGCCCTATCATCTATTCTGGTTAGTTAGCCTGCCTGCCTGCCTGCCTTCCACAGTAGTTTCCTGGAGTCCGCTTCCTTTTGTGCCAGGCACTGTCCAGATCCCTGGGCAAACAATGATAAACAACAGACCCTTTCTCAACTTTTAGGGTCTCCCAATATAGTAGGCAAAGCAGAAAGGTAAGTCAAATTGTTACAGGGCACCCCTGCTCTAAAATGGGTTGCCTGACTGTGGGTCCTCACCTGCATGCTTAAAGGGGACTTAAACTGCAGGCACACACTAAAAGTTAACAAAGGTTTATTTACAAGGGAAAGGGAAATGAGGAAATGTACAACTCAGGAAGAAAAGAGGGAGATAAATTATTTTTTTTAAGATTTATTTATTTAGGGCCTCCCCGGTGGCGCAGCGGTTGAGCGCTGGGTTGCGAAGCTGCCTGCAGCCTCTGCAGCGCCGGTTCGATCCCCGGCTGCTCCCCGGCCACTGGAGGAGGGTCCCACAAGGCACGCAGACCTCTCCTGCCACGCCCACTGCTCCCCTCTGCAGTGTACTTTGGTCCTTCTGCCTGCTCTGCTCCCTGCTCTGGCTCTGGTGAATTCTCTCACCCTCCCACGCTTCTGACTGTGCCCAGTGCTTGTATAAATAAATAAATAAATATTTTTTAAAAAAATATTTATTTATTTATACATACAGGAGCTGGGGCACAGGCCAGAGATGCGGGGTGTGAGAGGAGTCACCAGAGACAGAGTGGGGAACAGAACAGGCGGATTGACTGAAGTACACTGATGAGGGAGCAGCGGGCGAGACAGGAGAGGTCTGCTTCGCCATATGGGTTGCTCCCTGGCAGGTTGGGGATCAAATTCATGCTGCAGAGGCTGCAGACTGCTTCATAGTGCAGTGCTTAACCCCTTGCGCCACCAGGGAGGCCCAAGGGAGTTAAATTCTTTACTGTGTCCTACCTGTTCCCCGACCTGGAATCCCAAATGACACACCGAGACCAAACCTGCCTGGCCAAAGCATGAGCCAAGTGCCAGAGACACCCGCCCCCCAACATGGCTGGTTTTATTTACAAACAGATAAAATGGCTGCTTAACTCTGCCTTAGGTCCTCGCAACTTCCCTTTGGGGAATCATGGGATTTGAAGTTCCCAGTGTCTTGATGGAGTGGGGGTGGCATCCACAAAGCCTGTATGGAGTTTGCTCAGGACATCCTTTCCCCCTAACAATTGCCCCCTTTCACTTTTTGCCACCATTTCCATGGTGATGGAGATCATGTATATGGATGCTGGGGGTGCAGCCTCAGAATGCAACAAATACTAATCCTCCTGTTCTAATTCTGCCCTCTTGCAGTCCTCATGAGAAGGGGAAGGTTTATTCCTTCTCTGTGTCATTAGCCACACCTCCCCCACATCCAATTTTTGGAGAGCAGCCTGTATCTGGTCCTGCTTAAGAACTGCGGGGTTTTCCTCCCTCATACTCTGCACAGCTAAATTGAGAGCCTGAATTTGTTGCTGCATGGTCTCAATAGGCAGAGTGCAGCATCTAGCTCTCAGAGAAGCAACAATGTAGCCAATGGTACTCATACAAGCTATCAGAAAAACAGCCAGAAGCACAGATTGCAAAGCAGGGATGGCTTGCAAGCCACCCACATAAGTATATAAAAGCAAAATCACTTGCCACAGCCCCAGTTTGACCAAATTATTTATTTTTATAAGGCTAGTAGTGATATTTAACAGAAAAAGACTACTTAAAGTCAAGGCTGGAATAAAACCAAAAGAACTTAAGCTAGGGATGAGATTGCTTAAACTTATGGTGGAAAGACCAGACAGAGCCATACACAAGAAGAAAAAAAAACTGTTCAAGACCTGGGACAAAGACTTTTACCAGTGTCCTGCAGACCTAGTGTGCTTAAGGTGACCAACGCAAGGAGTTACTTTGGGCTGCTCTACCATGGGTGTAACTTGGAAACCACGTTGGGCGCCAAGCTGTTACAGGGCATCCCCACTCTAAAATGGGTTGCCTGACTCTGGGTCCTCACCCTTGTGCTTAACAGGGACTTACATTGCAGGCTGCAGGCACACACTAAAAGTTAACAAAGGTTTATTTACAAGGGAAAGGGAAATGAGGAAATGTACAACTCAGGGAGAAAAGAGGGAGATAAATTCTTAAATGCATCCTACCCGTTCCACCGACCTAGAATCCCAAATGACCAGTGGAGCCCAACCCTACCAGACCAAGAGCCAAGTGCCTAGGACCCCCGCCACATGGCTGGTTTTATTTACAAACAGATAAAATGGCTGCTTAACTCCACCTTTAGGTCCTTGCAACTTCACTTTGGGGATCATGGGATTTGTAGTTCCCAGTGTCTTGATGGAGTAGGGATGGCATCCACAAAGCCTGTATGGAGTTTGCTCAGGACAGACTTTTCCCCCTAACAAAATAATGGCACAAATACAAGTAAATGAATTAAGAAGTGTAAGTGCAGGGCACCTGGTCTTGGCTTGGGAAGGTCAGAGAGGACTTCCTATTGGAAGTGATCTGGGAATTTGGATCTAACAAGTCAGCTACCTTCAAAAGCCAGTTACTTCCTCCAGTGTTAGCTACCTCCAAAAGTCAATGCCCCACCCACACATTCATTCAATTATTAATTCATTTATTGAATTTCCATAGGTTTTAGGCATCCTTGAAGGGTGTGACCACGACAGAACAGGCAAAATTCTTTTACAGGATGGAACAAAGGGGGGGTGAAGGGTACAGAAGCAAAAGAATGAACAGATCATTCTGGGAGTAATCACCAGGTTACTCCCAGGGGATAATCTCTGGAAAGGAAGTACAGTTTAGCCAAGGAGAAGTAACTGACCGTCCTCCTTTCAAAACAAGACCCATAAAAAACCCTTTTAATCGAGGCTGCCACCCTCTCCGGGGGGCCATGGGCACCTTATCACACTCCAACAGAAGGTGCAAGAAGGAGGCCCTGTCAGCCTGGGCACTCACCTACACTACTGAGCTCTTCCAGTATGCGTCTGGCAACCTTTTGGGTATTAGACAGACCACGCGGGGAAGAGACTCTCTTTGCTCTTGAGCCTGACGTTTTCCTGAAACTAGAGTTTTAGTGGGGTTATCCCGCAGTCCAAGATACGCTGACCGTCCAGTCTGGTTTCCCTTAATAAATATCACTTAGTACTAAACTCCCCAAGGTAGGAATGCACAGATGAGGGTGCTCATCCTCATCTCGCAGATTAGTTGAACTTAAGCTAGGGATGAGACTGTAGATATAAACTGCTCCAGCCTGCACCGAGTTGTACTGCGAATAGTCTCTGTCCCTAAGCTTCAAGCCCCGCCCCCGCCGGGGTGGCTCGGCGACTGCGGCTCCTTTAAGAAAGCCCCGCGGATACAAGCAGGAAGGGGGTGGGGCCTGCGTCTCAGACGGACGCGCGGTCAGGCCAATGGGCGGTTTCTTCGCGGCGGCGGCTGCCAATGGGAGAGGCGGGGGCGGGGCCGGGCGCCTGAGCCTAGTTCCCGAGGCGCGGCGGCCGCGGCTGGGGGCGGGGAGGGGGGCGCAGGACCCCAGGTGGGGGTCCCGGAGCCGGAGGCACGTGTCCCGGGGCGCCGGCGGGGTCGAGCCGGCCGTGGGCGCTGCCCTGCCCTGGGTCGGGTCGGGGGCCGGCACGGCGGGCGCTGCGGCCGATGGGCGGGACGAAGGGCCGCGGGGGAGGCGAGCGCGAGGGGGGGAACGACGCCGGGGTCGGGATGTCAGAGGGTGTGCGACCGGGGGGTGGTGCGCAGCGACGTGGGGGGCATGGTGGGAGCCAAGGGGAGCCGGCGGGGGGACAGGCAGCAGAGACGTGCAGAGTCGGGGCGCCTAAGGGGTGCGGGGGTCGTGGGCCCCAGACTGGTGGCGTCAAACAGGCCTAGGGCGTTGGGGACCTGGGGGGGAGACCGACGGAGGGCCAGGCCTGAGTAGGGGGAATCTGGAGGGCGCATGGTTCTGTGGGCTAGGGAGGGGGCGCCTGGGGACACCGGGTGTTTACGGGGCGACGGAGCAGCTGTGGGGGGAGTTGGCCTTGATTGGGGGGCGGTGGTTGGGGGAGAGAGGGAGGGAGATTTGTGCGGGCGCAGGGGATTGTGGGGGTGAGGGCTGGGAGGGTCTCAGAAAATGGGGCCTGAGCCCCGAAGGGTGGGCAGATGAGAGTTAGGGAGAGGATGCTGGTTGAGAGCCTCCTCTGAGCTTGGGAAAGAAGAGTCTGTAGGATGCCTTGGGAGGGGGTCTCCACCCTTTCGTGGAAAGGAGACTACTTTGAGAGGGTGGTCAGGAGTCCTGAAGGAAGGGTATGGGCCTCTCTGGTATTTGGGGTGGTACTGGTAGTATTAAGTTCAAGGTATGAAAAAAAGAGGTATGGGTTTCTGGGTGGTGAGCAGGTAACAGGGGCTTCCTTTAGGAGGAGGGGCAGCTGGAGGTGGGGAGGGATCCCTGGTAAGGATTCAGTACCCTTTCTCTTGGGTTCCCAAAATAGCCTACCCAAGACCTCAGGGACTGTCTCACTGAAGAAATCCCAGTATCCCCTCTGGGCATTTAATCAGATAAAACCCCCAGATTCAAATTTTGCCCTTAATGTTTTTCTCTGTTCCTTGACCTTGGTCAAATGACTTGACTTCTCTGTGCCTTAGTTTCCTTTTCTGCAAAACTGTGGGGGACATTCCCTGCTTCTTGGGATATTTGTAAAGATCAAATAATTAGCTCTGGTAGTAGCTAACATACTGTTTGAACGTGATGGCCAGGGCTGGATGCCTGCATGGTGAAAGCCCAGGACCAGCCAGAGTTATTGCTGTACCCACTGTGCAGACAAGGAAAGGGATGGTACCTTTTGTGTTTCACAGCAAGTGGTGGGCTTGGGAGAATGGGGCTGGGAATTTGAGGGACTGGATAGGATTCTTACCCCCATTTATTCTGCACCCCCCCCAACCAGGGCCAATTCCCGTCCCCCCAGCAGCATGGCATCCTGTGCTGAGCCCTCTGCTATGGGCCCCGAGCCTGCTGCCCCACCTCCAGCTGGGGTCCCACCGCTTGAGGACTTCGAGGTGCTGGATGGGGTAGAAGATGCAGAGGGTGAGGAGGAGGAGGAGGAAGAGGAGGAAGAAGAGGAAGAAGAGGATCTGAGCGAGCTGCCACCACTTGAGGATGTGGGGCAGCCCCCTCTGGAGGAGGCTGAGCAGCCTGGGGCCTTAGCCCGAGAGTTCCTGGCTGCCATGGAGCCTGAGCCTGAGCCCGCCCCTGCCCCGGACGAGTGGCTGGACATCCTGGGTAAGGAGCAGGGGTGGCTTGGGTTGACCCATAGCGCCCAAACATATCGGGTTCAGGGGTGACCTTGGCCCAGGCCTCTGCTCCCCTGAGTCTCATTTTCTGGTCTCTGCTGTGAAGTAGGTTGGAAGTAAAATGTGTGGTAACCACTGTGATTGCCTGAATAGGCAACTGTTTGAGACACTTGGTGTTTATGACCCCATTCATTGTGATGCATATACACACGCACATGTACGCCCGAGGTGCTGTGTCCCTGTTTTCCAGAGCTTCTGATAGCAACTCAGAGTGGCTGAGCCAACTATCTAGGGCCACACAGCAAGGATGCTAGGCACTGGCAAGCTCTTGACCCTCACTGCTGGTTCTTCAGCTTTTTTCTGCTGAATGCCCAGTCCCTGTAAAATGTGTCCTTAGGTCTGGGGAATAGCCCATGTTGTGTAGTCCACTACTCAGGAAGTCCTGCAAGAAGGAAACTGAATCCACACATGTGCTCCCCATGTACTCTGTGGCAGCAACTCTGGAAGCCAAAGGAATATGCTACTACCAGTGCTAATACTTAATGTATTAAATAACGCTAGCGTCTACACCAATAACAATAAAACAGCATAACTGCTAAGGGTAGTACTGATGATACCAAAGCAAAGGTGTTAGGTAATACACTAATAAAACAGAATTGTTGCTGTTAAAGTCACATAACAAATGTTAAAATGTTACTACTTGTAAAACTAAGCCCAGGTGAGATCAAGCACTGGTTCATTATTTTATCCTCACAACAACCCCATCATGTAATTTTTACCATATTCCCATTTTAGATGGGGAAACTAAGGTTCAGAGGTGGAGGAGTTTGGATTAGGTCACACAGCCTCCTTGCCTGTGTTGGAGTTTGGGAAGTTCTTCTCTACTAATACCAAGAGCTGCCCCACATCCCTCCGAGTGAGTCTGGCTTTGTCCATTTATATGCAAGCTGACTGCTTTGTAAGCAGCCAGAACAAGGAAACTGAGGCCTTGAGAGGAGAGAGTCCACCCTCAGAGGCAGTACCCCATCTACAAATCTACCGTTAGTGCACAGAAGCCTCAAGACACAATATCCCTTGGGATCTGCGACATCAGTGATACAGACTGGATGTGGTAAAAGGACAAGTGGAGGAGCAACTCTGAAATTGGGAACACTTTAGAATGTTCCAGAATATAAATAGATACCTCCTTGTCATTAACTTTAGATTAGGGGCCACTTAGACTTGCAGTGTATTCCAGACCAGTGGAATATCACAGAAGGCAGGCGAGTGTTATAACTGAGTTTCTACTGTCTAAGCTCTTGATGGCCCCCAGTGGATGTGGGTGACAGCAGGTAACAGTGGTATGTGGTCCTTTGAGCAGATAACTGAGGCTGCTGGGCCTCGTGCTATGTGGTTGCTGTGGCCATTTTGCCATTCCTTCAAAGGCTTGGGATGTAGAGAGACTCCATGGTCTCCTGGCAACTATGGGATTTTGAGAACTGCTTTTGTTTATAGGCTCTTTGACTCTGTTTAACCTATGAATTCAGTGACATGGGGCTTTCATAGGGACACACTTGTGATGTCACAGGCACTTGCTCCCTGGGCATTGTTGGGGTACCATCATTGCCCCATTTCATGACTGAGTCAGTGGAGGCCCAAATGTCACAGATTGTGATTGGAAGGGGGCACCAGAGTCTGTTTTCTGGGTGTCCTTGTTACCCTGGATGTGTGGCTCAGTCACTGAGCCAGTTTCAGGGTCTGCATTGTCACCCCCAAATCCATTCCTTCATGCCGTTTTCAGCTAGAGTCACTGAGGCCCAGAGGCAGCGTTTATCTGCCCAGTGAGTGGCAGAGTAGCAGTGAGAAGCTGTGCTGGCTTTCCACCCCCAGGACTAGTGGAGCTGGGGGTGGACACCCTATCAAATCGCTTGGGTGACAGGGCTGCATGTCTCCATCCCTGGCAGGCAATGGGCTGTTGAGGAAGAAGACTCTGGTCCCAGGCCCACCTGGCTCTAGCCGCCCAGCCAAGGGCCAGGTAGTCACTGTGCAGCTGCAGACATCACTTGAGAATGGCACCCGGGTGCAGGAGGATCCTGAGCTGGTGTTCACCTTGGGGGACTGTGATGTCATCCAGGTGGGATAGGGTGTGGGGAGCTAGGCTGGGGTCGATGTGAGATGGGGCCCTGGGGGTGTTGGGGCAGGATGGTTGGGGGAGTTTGGAGGGCCAGGGGCTAGAATAAATATGGGAGGTGATATGGGGAGGTAGGAGGTACCTAAGTGGGTCATAACTGGACTGATGGGGGTGGGGCTAGGTGGGCTGGTGACAGGGCTGGGGGGGTATGATGCCCCACTTTGCACCAGGGCACCCCCTGACTTTTGTACCTATACTCCCAGGCCTTGGATCTCAGTGTCCCACTCATGGATGTCGGGGAGACAGCGATGGTCACTGCTGACTCCAAGTACTGTTACGGCCCCCAGGGCAGGTGAGTGCTAACTGCCATTTGGGGCCCAGGGCTGGGGAGGTGGGCAAAGCAGATGCCTCTCTCCTCTGCGTCATCTGCTTGCCCATTTTATAGAAAGGGAAACTGAGGCACAAAGAGGGGAGTTCACTGACCTAGTGAGGGAGCCCACAGGGTGGAGTTACTTCCCTTGGGTTGTGCTGGGGAGTGAATGGTAGGGGGCCAGCCCCAGAACTCATTCTCTTTCCTACCTGCTTGAGTCACCCCAGTGTGCCTGAGGTAGAGTCAGGGTGATGGCCAGGTCTGAGTGCTGCCCTTACCCCACTCCCCAGCAGGAGCCCGTATATCCCCCCGCACGCAGCCCTATGCCTGGAGGTGACTCTGAAGACTGCAGTGGATGGGCCTGACCTGGAGATGCTCACGGGGCAGGAGAGAGTGGCCCTGGCCAACCGAAAGCGGGAGTGTGGCAATGCCCACTACCAGCGGGCTGACTTTGTGCTGGCTGCCAACTCTTATGACCTCGCCATCAAGGCCATCACTTCCAGCGCCAAAGGTGACAGCCACCTGCCTTGCAAAGGCATCTATTAGTGCCAGAAAGCTCAAGACACAGAAAGCCTCAGACTCAGAATGTTCTGGAATGTTCCAAAATATGGATAGATGCTCAGCTGTTCTTAACCTTTAGACTTGGATCCATATCAGATTTGTGATCTATTCCACACCAGCAGGACATGTTGGAATGGGAGTGACTTCAGATGGTGTCCATCCCTGTGCCGCGTGTTTAAGCGCTCACTTCCTTAGGCTCTATTCTTTAGACTCCTTGAGGGTGCCCTGAGGATGGGGGATCCTGGCCCATGTTAGAAATGGGAAAACAGACTAGAAAGGCTTGAGGTGCCCCTTGCGGTAGCTGAGAGTTTGAGCTGCTCCCTCCCTTGACTATTGAGTGCTCAGTGACAGCTCCCTACCCTTGTCTCCTTCGCCTCTAGGTTCAGAGGGGGTGGCCTTGGCTTGGATCACACAGTGGAGGTGGGGTGTGTGCTTTCCTGACGGGTGGGGGGGGTGGTCAGGTCGCAGCTGCCAGGGCTGAGTGCTCTCCTCCCACAGTGGACATGACGTTCGAGGAGGAGGAACAACTCCTGCAGCTGAAGGTGAAGTGTCTGAACAACCTGGCAGCCTCGCAACTGAAGCTAGACCACTACCGCGCAGCACTGCGCTCCTGCAGCCTGGTGCTCGAACACCAGCCTGACAACATTAAGGCGCTCTTCCGCAAGGGCAAGGTGGGCCATTCTTCATGGATGAATGGGCCATGGGTGGGCAGGCCAGGGGCAGGTGAGCCGTAGGCAGGTGGGACACAGGCGGGATGTAGGCTATGGCCGGTAAACTGGCTCCTACAGCCCAGAGCAATGAAGCCGGTCCTGGATTTGAAGAGGGCACAGGTGTCAGCCAACTGAGCTCTCTGGGGCAAGTGGTGGGGAATGAAACTGTTGCTGGGGTTTAACTTAAATCACAGCAATTCACTGAGACCAGTTTTGAACTTGGGTCTTAACGTTCTTCCACTCCCACACATTGCCCTCTGGCCTAGTAGCGACTGCTTCTTGCTTATAACTCCATGGCTCTAGTCTCCCTCATGGTAAAAAAGCCAAGTCTCCGTTGCAGCCGCTGGGGCTCAGAGCTCTCTGGTCTTCTTTCCCTTGCCATCACTTTGCATCTCACCTGTTGCTTCCCTCCATCCTGCTCAGCTGCCTCACTACTGCTGCCCAGGCTAGGTCTGCTTCCCCCTCAGGGCCTTTGCACAGACTGCCCTTAGCTTGCAACATTCAGATCACACATGCCCCCATGGGACTCTTCCCCTATATCCTCAGGTTTTTGCTCTGATGTCACCTTAAGAACCCCTTCCTGCCGCTCCACCCTCTTCCCTGCCCTGTTCTTACATTTCCCATGTCATTGCATCTTGACCCACATCTACCTTCTAGAGGGCAAGATTTTGTCTGACTCACTGATAAATCTCTAGCTTTGTAAACAGGCACACAGTAGGGCCTCAATAAATGCTGTAGACCATAAACTGAATTTGGTCTGTGCACACTTGACCTTGATTCCCATTTCCATTCAGCTTTACTTTGGGGGCTTTTTGTACCTTCCAGCAGTAAATGCTGTGTCACCTAGTATATTTGTGAGAGGTCTGAACCGGGCCACCAGTATGTTTTAAGTACTTGTTTTGTGTAGAATTCTGCATGTAAACATGGGGGAAGGAAGATGATGTCCCTGTTTTTGAAGGGTTCATAATCTTCCTGAGGTCAGTGGGACTAGTTTTATACATGTTTGGTTCAGGTGGTTGAAGGTGGTAGAAACCTACTCAACCAGATTTAAACAAAAAGGATTGATGGTTCACGGAGCTGCCAAATCTGAGGCAATTGACTTTAGGCATTGCTGGACCTAGGTGTTCACAGTGTTGTGAGGATCCCCTTTCTGTATTATGGGTTTCTCTCTCAGGTAGCTTCCTCTTTTCAGGGTGACCAGGGTCCTCCCTCCTGTCCCCTTCCCCTCGTCCCCTAAAGAAAACTCTAAGCTTTATCTTCTACTCAGCACCTGCCACCCAGTGGACTAGCAGAGGCTAGGCAGGATCTCACTGGCTGGTTGAGTCACTTGTTCGCCCTGAATCCTTCAATATGGTCAAGGCTTTTGAAGTATCTAGCTAGTTTCTCAAGCCAACCAAGGTGGTGTAAGTGAGAAAAAGATGGGGCCAGGTCCTGGGTCCCCAGCACAGGCTGAGGTAGACCTGCAGGAGAAGGAGCAGGTTGGGGGGAGGGTGTGATACAGAGCCCTTTAGGTTGCTCATGGAATCAGGGCTCGGGAGAGGATTGGGGTCACAAAACTCTGGGGGTGGTGGTTGGAGGTAGATTTGGGATGTATCGGGGTGGCCAGGAACCTGGCAGTGTTGGATCTTTTGTTTTTTTTTTTTTGTTGTTGTTGTTGTTTTTTGTTTTTTGTTTTTCTAAAGGTTTATTTATTCATTTATACAAGCACTGGGTACAGTCAGAAGCGTGGGAGGGTGAGAGAATTCACCAGAGCCAGAGCGGGGATCAGTACAGGCAGACTGAACGAAATACACTGCTGAGGGGAGCAGCGGGTGGCAGGAGAGGTCTGCACGCCATGTGGGACCCTTGCCGGTGGCCGGGGATCAAACCGGCACTGCAGAGGCTGCAGGCAGACCAGCGCTCAACCAATGCACCACCAGGGGAGGCCCATTTTGGATCTTTTGAAGGAGAGTGTAACCTAGTGCAAGTCAAGTGCAGTACAACCCACTTGCCCTCACAGGTGCTGGCCCAGCAAGGCGAGTACAGCGAGGCCATTCCCATCCTGAGGGCAGCCCTAAAGCTGGAACCTTCCAACAAGGTGAGCAGAAAAGGGGTGCCCTGGGGACTTGCCTGCCAACCCATTGGGAAAGTTCGCTTGTGGTTTACTCCTTGTCCTTCATGTGGTTCTCTCTGTGGTGTTCCCACCTGGGCAGTGTCAGGAGTGGGTGATTCAAGGGCACTAGCCAGATTCAAGTGTTCCTGCAGCCAGGCTAATGCCAATATCTTCAGCCTTCTTTCTAGAACCTTTCTGACCATCTTTTCTTTGCTCCAGTCACTGGATTCCTGGGGGGATGAACATGGCAGACCCCACCCCCACCCCCACTTTATTGATGCCCAGAGCAAGGCAGGCAATACCTGTGTCCCATGGGTTTCAGCCCCGATGGGCCCCAGGCCCTCAGAAAATCAGAGCACCAATGATGAGTCAGGTTGACTGTTGCTGCCATGTGCTCTCATCTGACTGATGCCAACTCTTGTAGACGATCCATGCAGAGCTTTCAAAGCTGGTGAAGAAGCATGCGGCCCAGCGGAGCACAGAGACCGCCCTATATCGGAAAATGCTGGGCAATCCCAGTCGACTGCCTGCCAAGTGTCCTGGCAAGGGTGCCTGGGTGAGCTGGGACCAGAGGGCTCAAGGGGCTCCCAGAGGAGGGGCAGCAGCTATGGTCAGGGCATTATACTTAGAGGGAGTTCCTTCATTTTGCACACTTTGATGTTCTCATCAACTAGACTTTGCCAACTGTGACAGGGTCACAGAGAGGCCAGAGCAGAAAACAGAACCTTAGCTGGAGGATTCAGGGTGGAGAATGGTGGCTCTTTGCCAGGGGAGGATATCCCACAGATGGGGATAGTTTGACTTGAGTAGGAGTTTGCCTACAGGCAGGAAAGGCAGATCAGACAATGGTTTGCTTGTATTGGTAACTGAGGTCCAGGACATAAGTCTTGACCAATTTCTAGCCTCCTCTTCCCTCCCTTTATCCACAGTCCATTCCATGGAAGTGGCTGTTTGGGGCGACCGCCGTTGCCCTGGGGGGCGTGGCGCTCTCTGTCGTCATCGCTGCCAGGAACTGACTGCCCAGGTGGCCGCAACCCCCTCTGCGTACCATGGACCCCACCCCATGCTCCCCGATGCCCCCAGGCTCCCTGTCCACTGCCCTCTCTGAACCTAGCCCCCACCTCTAGGGCAGGGGAAGCAAGGTTTGGGGGTTGTGTGGCCCAGTGAACAGGAGGGGCTGAGGCTCTATAGGGAGAGTGAAGTAGAACCTGGGCCCCATGTCCATCTGGGAGGGAGGGGGCTCTCATTCCTCCAGACCCAATTCCCAGTCCATCTCCACTTGCTGGGTCAGGTCCCAGTAGGGGCCCACCTCAGTGTTTCCTTCCCAACAGGCCTGGGGCAGCCCTTCCCCCACCCAGTCTGTGTCCAACACCAAATCTCCCTGCCCCCGCCTATGCCCTCTGTCCAGGCTCCACTCCTCCCTCCCTCTCCCCCCCCCAGTGAAATAAAGCCTCCCACCCCGCATTCTGCTGGCTCCAGAGCCTCCTTTCATGGTCACTGCCGCCACCCCTGCCACCACCGCCAGTGTGGCAGGGTCAGATTGCTTGGCCTGCACCCAGGGTTCTACAGCACTACGGGTGGGTCGAGCTGGGCTAGAGGAGTTGTGCTGTCTTCTCTTGGGTCAGCACAAACCGCTTTATGGAGGAGGAACACAAACCCGCAAAAGTCAGGTGAGGGGTGGGGTGCCCAGCCATTCTTCATGGGAACTTAACACCCACCTCTGCCCATTGTTCCACCTCTCTCAACTCTGATACCTAACATGGAAATGAGGAAACTAACCAGGGGCAGCACTGGGGCCTAGGCATCTGCTGGGATCCAGTTGGTTAATGAGTTGACAGAAGCACAGCCAGTGCAAAGGTTTGGTGGGACCTGGTGTTTTCAAGGTTGGTACAGGTGGGTAGGCAGCACAGTTGGCCCCTGCAGGGCCACAGGGAGGGTTCGGGGTGATTCCAGGAGCCCTATCCTCGCCCCGCCCCCAACCTCATTGGGTTCTCCTTACAACCCAGGACTGTAGGTGTTCTATAAGTGCCACACCTACCATCACTGCTTGGACAGAGAGCGGACAGCTGAACCTTGGTAGGCCAGGCGCCTAGGCCCTCCCTATGCTTCATCCTACCTCCAGGAAATGGAGTCTTTAAAGTTAGATCCCCATAGGGGTCCTGCATATACCCAACCCTTTAGAGGCCATGAGGGGCAGCCACTGACCACAGCCACCCAGTGAAGGTGGTAAGGCTATGAACCCAATCTTTGCTCTTCCTGCTGTCAGGTCACTTGAATAACTCTCAGAGCACAAATCTAGGGATGACTTGAACCTGTACTTTGGCACCAACTTTCAGGCCCTTTGCTTTCCACCTTGCCCTCACACTGGACTGAGGCTTTCTGAGAGAACCTGGGGGTAGGCCTATGTCCCAGACAGGATACCCCCTTTCCTTAGTCTTGCTGACAATTCCCAGCTTTTCAGGAAGCTGGCCTGAGTGGTGACCACAGGACAATGGGTCAGCCATGGAGACCTGGCCTGGCTTGTCACCACCCTGTCATTGTGCTTACCATGTTACATTGCTTACCATGTGTCTGCATGGCCAGTGCTATACTCACCATTTCATTTTATACCGCCCTGTTATGGCCAGGGGACAGCAGAAGGCAGACCTTGAATACCAGGGCCAGGAATGTGAAATTCAGTGTGTTGATCTGTGTTTTGGTTAGTCACCCTTAGTAGTCTTTGTAATGAGGGATGGGGAGTCAGGGTGTCTAGGACCAGGGGCATCAAAGTCATCTTGAAGGCACAGGAGGCCTTTGGAAGGTAGTGAGGCACGCTCCCACTGCTGGCATGGCACGTGCAAAAGTGTGCTGGTGGACAGTGGGTGATATGCCCAGAGGACAACAGGATCACATCCAAACACTGATGCTTCCTGAGTACCCTGCCTTGGACTATGACTCAGCCTGGCCTTTCCTTTGAGGAAAGGCCTCACAGCAGGCTTGTACAGTGGAACAAGCTTTGTGGTGTGTGTGTGTGTGTGTGTGTGTGTGTGTGTGTGTGTGTTTTCATAGTACTTGACCACTTTGATAGGATCTGTGCATGCCTCTATCTTGTGTCACCCTAGCTTTGTGGGGGTAAGGCTGGTTTCAGTCACTCAGATGGGACCATCAGTGTCCCTGTGTGCCTGCTGCCTATTTCTCCCAGTGGAGATCACCTTCACTCCCCTGTGCAAATGGGACTGGTTTCCCATCTGGATCTGTAGTCAAGGCCTGACTAATCAGAACACTCCAATCCCCTGACTATAGTGATTGACTCTTGAATGTTATATGACCTACAATGAGCCAATCAAAGCTTTCCCTGATACTTCTGCTGGAACTCTGGGGAAATGGGTTTCCCCCTTGCCCAAGAGTTGCTGAGCTGGTGGATGGAAGCTTGATGCTGCTGTAGTTACTTTTGCCTCTGTGAAGAAGTCTGACTCAAAATGAAGCCCACCCAGAGAGCAGAGCTGAGAAGGGAGAGACTAAGTCATGTGACCCATTCAGCTCCTGGAACTGGCTGTACCTGCAGACTGTCATTTCTTCAGTCTTTTTGGTCAAATTATATGGTACCAATCCTGATGATTCATAGGTTTATCATTTGTGATAGGTTGAAGATAGTGTAAATGGAAATGCATTTACTACACCTCACTTAATGTAACATGACAGCTCAACCTAACTGCCTTTTTTTTTTAAGATGTTTATTTATGCATACAAGAACTGGGGTTTAAGCCAGAGATGCTGGGAGTGAGAGAATTCACCAGAGCCAGAGCGGGGAGCAGAACAGGCAGACTGACTGAAATACACTGCTAAGGGGAGAAGCAGGCAAGGCAGGAGAGGTCTGCTGTGCCATGTGGGCCAGCCAGGGATCAAACTTGCGCTTCAGTGGCTGGTGATAGCTTATAGCACTGTCTTTAACCCCTGTGCCACCGGGGAGGTACTAACTGACTTTAAATGTGCACAGTTGGGCAAAATCGTCTCATGCAAAGCCCATTTTATACTGAACTGTGGAATATCTCATGTAATTGAGACACTGTACACTAGATTGTGGGTTGTTTCCCCTTGTGATCTTGGGGCTGAAGGGGAGCTGTGCTTGATACAGTTGCCCCGCATCACAAAGGAAGATCATACAGCAGCACATCATTAACCTGGGGGAAAAAATCAAAATTCAAAGTACAGATCCTACTAAATACATGTCTCTTCCACACCATCATTGTCAAGAAATCTTAAGTTAAATCATCTTTAGTTGGAGACTAATTGTTTTTGCTTGAACCAGGCTGCTTTCTGTCACATTTGGAAGTTTGGAGGAAAGGGATGTTTCAGGTTGCATCAGCTACTTTCTGTGGCCTGTTCATGTCCTCCCAGGCAGAGGACAAAAGGGGGGTGATCATGAATGCTTGTGCAAGGAAAGGAGGGAAGGGGAAGGGAGAAAAGGAAGGAGGGAGGGACGGTGGGAGGGAGGCAGGAGATGGGGAAGAGAAGAAAGAAGGAAGGAAATAAATTACATGAAGTGGATCAGCTGTGGAATCTACAGTTAACTGAACATAGAAATGTTTTAGCTGATTCTAGAAATTTCTGAGACCTTCATCTTTGAAGAAGGGTCTCCAAAACCATCAATAAAAACCTTTCTCAAGTAAAGCTAGGCTTCACCCCCTTGATCACTCATACAAGGATGATATGGCTGACTCATGAAGCAAAATGGCACTTGGACATAGAATGGTAAAGAAATAGCAGGCTGGGTTTTCAAAATCCTTCACAGTCCCAGGAAAGGACTGACCCTCAACTGGCTCTTGGGGGATCATCTCTGGGCTCTTGGACTATCTTTATTTTTTTTTTTTCAAGATAGATTTATTTATTTATTTATTTATTTATTTATTTATTTATGCATACAAGAGCTGGGATACAGGCCAGAGATGCGGGGGGTGAGAGGATTCACCAGAGCCAGAGCGGGGAGCAGAACAGGCAGACTGACTGATACACATACACTGCTGAGAGGAGCCGCAGGCGAGACAGGAGAGGTCTGCTGTGCCATGTGGGCTCACTGGCCAGCTGGGGAATTGAACACATGCTGCAGATGCTGCCGAATGGCTTCACAGTGCTGTGCTTAGCCCCTTGCGCCACCAGGGAGTCCCCTCCTTTGCTGATTTTAGACCATATCCTTTTTCTGTGATCAATTACAATCACCAATATAATAACTTCTCTGAGTTCTAGCATCCTTCTAGTGAATTGTCAAAACTTAGGGGTGTGGGGACCCCTAACAACAGACATCTGTCCCCCTACCCTGAGAAGTGTTGTGAGCCTCCCCATGGAGCAGATGAAGCTTGAGTCCCATAGGTGGACTTGTTGGCTCTGAGGTATCCAGCTGTAGGGGCAGGGCACAGACCTATTGTTACAGGTCAGGGAGGGGGCACCCCAGACCCCGCAAACCTGCCTTCTCTAAATGGGCGCTGCTATCTGCTGCATCAACACAAAACATATGAGACTTTAATGAAAAGGAACTTCAATACAATTAGTAAACAATACAGGAAAGGCAAAGAATACAGTTTCTAAATCAAGCACCCAAAGTTACCCATGCCCTTGTGGGTATAAGTCCACCTAAGCAGGATTGACCCAGAGCAAGGCCCCAAAGCCTGCCACAAATCTAAAGCATCTTCCAGTGGGGACCTACAGAAAAGGATCAGAAACAACCAGACAAACCTGGGAGAGAAGAGCAAAATCAAAATCAAGACAAAAACTGCCATTGTCGGGGTCTCCCCAGTGGCACAGCAGTTGAGCGCTGGGCTGTGAAGCTGCCCGCAGCCTCTGCAGTGCCGGTTCGATCCCCGGCCACCGGTGAGGGTCCCACATGGCACGCAGACCTCTCCTGCCGCCTGCTGCTTCCCTCAGCAGTGTGCTTCGCCAGTCTGCCTGTTCTGCTCCCCTTTCTGGCTCTGGTGGGTTCTCTCACCCTCCCACACTTCTGACTGTACACAGTGCTTGTGTAAATAAATAAATAAATCTTTAAAAAAAAAAAACAATTGCCATGGTCACCTCCACATGAGTCTCACCCACGTATGTGTCACCCAGTCCACGACCAAAAGGCAAGTGCAGTTTCTTCACGTGTCTCTCGGCTCCATGTGCCTCCTCCAGGTCTCCTGGCTCTCCTTTCTCCTTCCTTCCTTCCTTCCTCAGTCTCCTCTGCAGCTTCTTCTCCCTGATCAGCTCCACCCTCCTTTTGGGTGGGGCAGGAAACCTGGAACCTCCCCCTTTCCTGGGGACCACCCTGTTACACTATCACCCAGGTGTGTCCTGCTTTTCACACAGAGGGACCAGCTGCAAACAGTACTTCCATGGATCTTCATACTCCTTCTGCAAAATGGTGTGTTTCAAAATCCCTGAGGCCCATATGCTCTAATCAACTCAAAAGTGTAGGAGGGCCTCCCTGGTGGCGCAAGGTGTTAAGAACAGCACTATGAAGATATCTGCAGCCACTGAAGCATGAGTTAGATCCCTGGCCAGCCAAGGAGCTACCCATATGGTGCAGCAGAACTTTCCTGGCTCTCCCACTGCTCCCCTCAGCAGTGTGTTTTGGTAAATCTGCCTGTTCTGCTCCTCACTCTGTTCTCTGGTGAATCCTCTCATCCCCCTGCACCTCTGGCCTGTACCCAGTTCTTGTACACATAAATAAATAAATCTTTAAAGAGTGTAGGTGGGGCCTCCTTGGCGGTGCAAGGGGTTAAGGTGTAGTACTATGAAGCTCTCTGCAGCTGCTACAGCACAAATTCAATCCCTGGCCGAGGAGGTGACCCACATGGTGCAGCAGACCTCTCGTGACTCTCCCGCTGCTCCCCTCAGCAGTGTATTTCAGTAGATCTGCCTGTTCTTCCCACTCTGTCTCTGGTGAATCCTCTCACCCCCCACACCTCTGGCCTACACCCCAGTTCTTGTATGCATATGCTGAGGGGAGCAGTAAGCAAGACAGGAGAGGTCTGCCGTGCCATGTGAGTATCTCCCTGGCCTGCTGGGATTAAACTGGTGTTACAGAGGCTGTGGACAGCTTTGCAACACTGAGCTCAACCGCCTGCACCACCAGGGAGGCCCTTAGAGACTTTTGGAGGACTCATGGACCCTCCACTCAGAATCCCATTGGAAGTCACTGGGGTGTCAAGTGTAAAGTGGAGAAATGGTTGTTGTCAAACAGCATGAACCACAGTTGCAGTATTCTAATTCTCTTACCTTCTCCAAGCTTCAGATAATTCACCTGCCAGATGGATCCAAACTACCATATCCACTCTAAAAGGTAGTCATGTATGCTAGGCACTGAGCACAGAGCCTGGTGCATTTTAGGCACTCAACATAAGTGACTTATGACTATTGTCTATTTCTCAGAGAGGTCCAGAGAGAGGAGTCGCCTTTCCCATGGTCATTCTGTTACAGAGCAATCCCTGTATAAAATGGGTTGCTTGACTGTGGGCCCTCACCACGTGCTTAAAGGGGACTTATTAATGCTAAACTGCAGACACACAAAAAAGGTTGATAAAAAAGTTTATTTACAGGGCCTCTGGTGGAGCAAAGGCTTAAGACTCAGCACTATGAAGCTATCTGCAGCCACAGAGTTCGATCCCTGGCTAGGGAGCTACCCACATGGCACAGCAGACCTCTCCTTTCTTGCCTGCTGCTCCCCTCAACAGTGTATTTCAGCCAATCTGCCTGTTCTGCTCCCAACTCTGTCTCTGGTGAATCCTCTCACACACACCCCCTACACCTCTGGCCTGTACCCCAGTTATTGTATGCATAAATAAATCTTTAAAAAAAAGGTTTTATTTACAAGGGAAGGGGAAATGGGGAAGTGAATAACTCAGGGAGAAAAACAGGGAGTTAAGTTCATAAATGCATCCTACCCATTTTGCTGACCTGGAATACCAATGACCCACTGTAATGCCAGGATGGGCACAGGGCAGGTTATCTATGATACGAGCAGACGGCGTAGAGTCCTGGAGCCCTCGGTGGCTTTCTCAGGATTTTATTGAGCTTTACATGTAGCACAGCAACCAGGTACACAGCATTCAGGGGTGCCAGGGGCCAGGAGGCCCACAGGCCTCCAAGCCCCTGGCAAGTCTTCACTCTGGGCTTCTCTGGTGTTCTTTCTTCCCTCCTCTCTCCTGGCTCTTCTGCCTCTGCTTCTGTTGGTGAATCTCTCAATACTGCTGCCATGACCCACAGAAGTAAACAATATAAGTTATAACAATGTAACAGAATGCAGGTGCCCCATCAGGCAGGGCAATTCTAATGGCAGGAGGGCAGAAAAGCCTGAAAATCATCTACACTAAACGCTCACAGGTGGAAAAACCAAGCTCCTGGGGTGGCCAAGAGAGCAACCCCCATATGGCCAGTTAATTACTCAAACAGAGACCATAGTTGCTTAACTCTACCCTCAGGTCCTCACAACCTTCCCTTTGGTGATCATGGGATTTGTAGTTCCTAGTGTCTTGATGAAGTGGGGTTGGAGTCCACAAAGCTTGTACGGAGTTTGCTCAGGACATCCTTTCCCCCTAACAATAGAAGGAGCTGGTCAATCCTTAAAGCCAGTTTGTCCCATGTCCTCCATTTGGCTGTCTGACTTTCTCCATCCTCCCCATCCTCTCTTCCAGCTCTTGTGCTCCCCAGCAACCCCATTCCTGCCCTTCCATTACCCTTCCAAGAAGCACATCTTGCTTGCTGTGATATTTGCCAGCCTCCCTGATAAATGACTGGGCACAGACAGTAGGTAGATAGATGGTCAGCACACTGGGCAAGTGCTGGCCACCTTCCTGTAGAATCAATTGATTGAGGAGAGGTGGATAATCCTGGCATTTCAACCCTGGATTTAGACAGTCACCTTGTTACAGAGCAACCCAATATAAAACGGGTTGCCTGACTGTGGTTCCTCACCGTGTGCTTAAAGGGGACTTAAATTGCAGGAACACACAAAAGGTTAACAAAAGGTTTATTTACAAGGGAAGGGGAAATGAGGAAATGAACAACTCAGGAGAAATGAGGGAGATAAATTCTTAAATGCATCCTAACTGTTCCACCAATCTGGAATCCCAAATGACCTGCCTGGCCAAGAGCATGAGCCAAGAGAGAGACCAAACCTGCCTGGCCAAGAGCATGAGTCAAGAGAAAGACCCCACTAACATGGCTGGTTTTATTTACAAACAGAGAAAATGGCTGCTTAACTCCACCCTTAGGTCCTCGCAACCTCCCTTTGGGGAATCATGGGATTTGTAGTTCCCAGTGTCTTGATGGAGTGGCAGTGGCATCCACAAAGCCTGTATGGAGTTTGCACAGGACATCCTTTTCCCCTAACAACCTCACAGTCTCTCTGAGTCTCATTCACTTCATCCACAATATGGGCTGGTAACTGTTGTGAACTATGTTCACTTGACACACATTCCTGAACACCTACTCCATGTTAAGCCCTAGACTGGGGGTGCTTGTTGAATATATAGACAAAGACCCAGGTGTCAGTGACAGAGGGGAAGGTAATCAGGAAGGGTCTGAATCAGAAAGATCCATGCCCTCTTGGTGGGTGAATGTTATCTGCCTCAGCCCTCCCAGTCTTTCTTTCCCTATTTGCAAATGGAGATAATTAAGTTCAGGAAAATGTTGCAAGGACTCCAGCATTGCCTTTGGGGTGAGCAGTTAATAGTCAGGTTGGGGGGTGGGAGCGGGAATGGATGGTTGTGCCATCTTGGGCAGAGTGTTGACAAAGGTAAGGAGATTACTAGTGACATTAGAAGGTCCTTTACTGTCACTTTCCATCCTGTAAGGAAAATGAATGAATCAGGCTGTTTTTCACCTTCCACACAGCAGAGAGCCCATAGCTTGAAATGCTGTTTTTCACCATTAGCACATCTAGTAAACAATGGGAGGGGCCTTGCATTTGTAACCATGTATCCATTGTGTGACTCTGGGCACTTAACAGCATAAAGGGGGTGCGGCAGCAGAGTTGCTGTTTGCCTCTCTCCTGGTACAGGAGCCCCTTTTGATGTTTGCCTGCCTGTGTATAAGGTTCCCTGTTCCAGCATTGAAGGACTGCAGAATCTACCAAAGGCTCTTCCTTTTGTCTGTGAGAACTGATAATGAACCTACCTGGCCTGGGATGATTGCAGGACTCTTCCCTACCTCAAAATCTTCATCCTGTGACCACCACCTGTGATTAAAGTGAAAAAAGAAAAAAAAGAAGAGGACTCAGGAATTCTCCTCAGATAGGGAGCTCTGGGAGCCTGGTAGGAACTTCCCTGGGTAAGCCAGGGCTAGTCCCCAGCCACAGTTTCACCACCTGTAAAGGGAGAAATTGATAAAAAGGCAAAGTCGGGCCTACCTGGTGGTGCAAGGGGTTAAGCACAGCACTGTCAAGGTAACTGCAGCCTCTGTAGCAGGAGTTCCATCTCCAGCCGGCCAGGGAGCTACCCACATGGCTCAGTACACCTCTTCTGTCTCGCCCACTGCTCCCCTCAGCAGTGTATTTCGGTCAGTCTGCCTGTTCTGTTTCCCACTCTGTCTCTGATGAATCCTCTCACCCTCCACACCTCTGGCATGTACCCCAGTTCTTGTATGCATAAATCAATCAAAAAAAAAAAAAAAAAAGGCAGGGCCTCCCCAGTGGTGCAGCGGGTTGAGCGCAGCGCTGTGAAGCTGTCCACAGCCTCTGCAGCGTGGGTTCAGTTCCCAGCTGGCCAGGGAGAAACCCACATGGTGCAGCAGACCTCTCCTGCTTCGCCCCCTGCTCCCCTCAGCAGTGTTTTCGGTCTGTCTGCCTGTTCTGCTCTCCACTCTGTCTCTAGTGCATTCTCTCATCCTCTCGCACCTCTGGCCTGTACCCCAGTTCTTGTATAAATAAATAAATCTTAAAAAAGTAAGGCAAAGCCCATGTGGAAAAGTCCGACTGTTCCTCAAAGGTGAAACAGTTAACCATATGACCCAGCAACCTCATTCCCAATTGGAGACCCAAGAGAAGGGAAAGTATGTGTCCATACAAACTACTGTACATGAATGTTCACAGCAGCACTATACATGATAGTGAAAAAGTGGAAACAGCCTAAATGTCCATCAACAGGTGGGTGGATGAAAAAAAAAGTTCATTGTGCAATGGAGTATTACATAGTTGTAGAAAGGAATGAGTCACTGACACATGGATGAATTTTGAAAACATGATGCTGAATGAGAGAAGTCAGACACATTGATACGAAATGTCCAGAATAAGAAAATGCATAGGGGGCCTCCCTGGTGGTGCAAGGGGTTAAGTCTCAGCACTATGAAGCTGTAGGCATGGCTGCCTGAGTTTGATCCCCGGTCAGGGAGCTGACCCACATGCTCCCCTCAGCAGTGTATTTCAGTAAGTCTGCCTATTCTGCTCTCCACTCTGTCTCTGGTAAATCCTCTCACCTTGCCCCCCCACCCCCAGCTTCTGGCCTATACCCCAGCTCTGGTATGCATAAATAAATAACTCTTAAAAAAAAAAAACAGAAAATGCATAGACACAGAAAGTAGGTTAGTGATTGGGGTGGGCGGGGGGTGAGGAAGTGGGGAGGCCTGCGGAGTGACTGCTTAGTGTTTTGAGTTTTTCCTTTTGGGGTGATGAAATTGTTTCTGCTAGCTAGCAGTAGCAGTTTTGAATGTACTTTAAATGGGTTAATTTTATGCTATGTGAAATGTTTCTTAAAGAGGGGCGGTGGACAATCACTGTCAACCCTTGTTGATATAAGATTTTATTCTATTAAAAGTCTACTCCGTCAGGAGCAATGTTTATGGACACCGCCCCCCGCCCCTCCCCAGCAGCCCAGGTGAGAATGCCATTCGCCAACCTAGGGACACCCGACGAACCCAGCCCAGCAGCCAACGCGCGGTGGTTTGCATAGGCACGCCCTCACACGGAAGCAGCCAGCCCCGCCCACCACGTGTTTGGCGTTGGGCCCGCCCCCTCCACGCCCTCGCTGCAACTCCTGCAGAAGCCGAAGACGGAAGTCTTGACGATATCTCATAAATAATATATCACGTCAGAGGCCCTTGAGGCGGGGCTTTGGCGAGCCAGGCTGAGTCAGAGATATGAATAATACATATAGAGGCGGGACCTAGACGGGAGCGCGTGTCGGGGCGGAGTCCGGGCACGGAAGTGGCCACCTCTGAGGGCCTTGGGAGGTCGCGGGGGGGCGCGGGGAGGGGAGAGAGAGAGAGAGAGAGAGAGAGAGAAAGAGAGAGAGAGAGAGAGAGAGAGAGAGAGAGAGAGAGAGAGAGAGAGACTTCCACTCTCATCAATATGAATAACGCCGGGCTAGTAGGGGGCGTGACAAGCCACGTCTTATGAATAATGCAGCACGTCGGCGGGGAGCGAAGCCGCGATGACGGGCCACACAGGATGCAGAGGGGGCGTGGCCATCACGTCTCATGAATAATGCAGCGCGTCAGCGGGCGGCGGGGCGGGGCGGGGCGGGGCGGGGCCGGCGCTTCGGTGCTGGAGCCGAGGAGGGGGGGCGGGGAACGATGGTCGCAAGATGGCGGCGCTGAAGGAGGCTCGGAGTTACGGGCTGTCGTGCGGGCGGGTCAGCGACGGCAGCAGAGTGTCGGTGTTCCACGTGAAGCTCACCGACAGCGCCTTAAGGGCCTTCGAGAGCTATCGCGCCAGCCAGGTGAGCCGTCGGGGTCAGGGTCCAAGGACCGGCCTCACGCGCCCCCACCTCTGTGTCCGGGCCGGGGGAGTCGCGGGGCTGTAGTGCCGGAGTTGGCGGGGCGCGGTGTGGGTGGGCGCCTGTTTGACTCAGAACGCAGACGGCCGCGTCTCCTGTCGGCTGCGAGAGGCGACCCCGAGACGGCCGAGGGGCCCCAAGTTGCGCGTCCGGCTCAGGGGCGTCCGTGTTGGCATCTGGGACCTTCGGAGGCTGACCTGGCGTCCCTGGCACCTGGACAGGAACCGGTCAGCTTACCTGGGATGGGGGAAGGTGTGGTAGCGGTGTTCGCGCCTCGGTGGGGGGAGGGAGTTTGGGTCTGCTTCTTAATCCTCCTTAGGGTGGTGGTGGGGTTACTGTCCGGACACCTGTGGGGGCCTTGTTCCCCACCTGTGTCTGCGCTGGGTGACTCTCTTGGATTCTTTCTTCCATTTGGTCTTCCTCTTGGTTCCTGAGAAGGGGTGTTTTGGCAGGAACTGACAGCTTGTTCCCAACTGCCGGCCTCCCTTTCCCAGGTGACCCTATTTCCACCTTTGGAGAGTGGAGGTTTTTTGGGGGTGAGGGGGGTGCTGCTTTTCTCCAGGTTCATGTGCCTGGGGTGGGGAGGGCTCTGGCACGGTGCCCTTCCCAGACCCGGAGCCCTTGGTGGACATCAGGAAGGGTGTTCTTACCACTGCACCTGGCTACTGACTCAGACTTCTCAAGGGCCAATTTGGGCCCATCTGGGGAAGTGGGAGGTGTTTCAGTTCTGCCACCTGTAATGGGGTTGGGGGGAGGAAGGCCTGCTGTGTACTTTTTTTCAGGCCTGACTTTGGGCACATCTGGGGCCCTGGTCAGAACGCTGCTTCCCATTTCTGTTTATGTCATGGCGCCCTCCCCCTGTGATGGGACAGAAGTTGCAGGTGCCTAGTGGTCAAGTCCTGGGGGGAAGTGGTTTGGGAGCTTGTTTCCTGCTTGCCTCAGGGGAGTCTGGTGTCAGGCTCGGGAAGGCCCAGTCTCTGTGTGTGTGTGTGTGTGTGTGTGTATGTGTGTGTGTGTGTGTGTGTGTGTTTGTGTTTATGTATACCAGGGATGGGGGGGCCTGGGGCGGTGAGGAGAGAGACTAACGAGGAAGGAATGTGGTTTCTTCCTGCCTTGGACTTGTTCAGCACCATTAGCTAAGCCGGGAATTTCTTCCCCTGTTTGGTTCCCACCACTTTCTGCGTGCCTACCCTTCTAAGCTTCTTCCTACCGTTTTGGGCTGTTTTCTTTCTGTGCAGGTGTCTATTTCTCACTCATGGAATAGGGCCCTCACCTTTTTTTGAAGACTCAAGTTCCACTTTGTCCAGTGTCTCCCCCAAGATGAAGTGAAGGTAACCCTGCAGGTGAGGGGGCCTGAGGTGAGGGTCTCCTTTTCTGGTGGATTCCAGCCCTGAGTCTTTTTCCCTGAGTGATTCTTCCTTGTTGTGCAGGAAGGCAGGCTTTCCTAGAAACAGCTGGGGGAGAGCTCCTGAGTCATGTAAATGAGGTGAACTTGGTACCTGGTCACGCCTTCCTGCCTGCTGCCCTCACTTGATCCAGCTGTCAGGAAGGCCTGTCCGTAAGTCCACCTTATGCTGTCATGCTGCTATATTTAATTTGGGTGTTGGTTACATCCCCTAACTAAGCTGGCTCTTCCTCATGTGGGAATGAAGGTAGAGCAGCAGAGTTGAGACTATCCCATGCCAGCTGCGTAGTTAGTATTGACTAGCCAGGACTCCTTGAAGAATTTTTCCAGGCTATTTGATGCACGTTGACTGGTCAGGCTGAATTTTGGGGGTGACCCAAATTTGTGTTTTTCTCAGAACCTGACTGGTAATTTAAGGTACTTGGCAGTTTTTGTAATCTTCCCTATTGGGTTGTGTGGTGGACAGAGTTAAAACTGGGGCAACTTAGGTGCACTGGCTGCTTTTGGGTGGTGGGCATGGGAAAGGTTGCTGAATAACTCCTTTGTGCCAATAGCAACTTGTGGAGCGGGTTTTATTAGTATTTTTTTAATTGCAAAAGGGGCACTTACAAATTCAGATGTGGAACGGAACTTCTCATGAAATGTTCTGCTGCTATAATAAGCATGAGATCTGGCTGTTGGAGCAGTCTGGGTAGAACTACCCACTGTTTTTTCCTCCAGAGGGTCCTCACATCTGAGCTGCCTTTGTGCAGGCCTGGTGGCCAGCCTGGAAGAGCTGAAAAGTAAAACTGTAGCGCTATATCGTTTTTGTTTTCTTTTGAGTTATAAATGAAGCTTATTGTCATTTTAAAATTTTTTTTTATTTTTTAAAGATTCATTTATTTATGCATACAAGAGCTGGGGTACAGGCCAGAGGTGTGGGGGGTGAGAGGATTCACCAGAGACAGAGAGGGGAGCAGAACAGGCAGATTGATTGAAATACACTCACTGCTGAGGGAGCAGCGGGAGAGACAGGAGAGGTCTGCTGTGCCATGTGGGTTGCTCCCTGGCCGGGATCAAACTCGTGCTGCAGAGGCCGCAAATTGCTTCATATTGCAGTGCTTAATCCCTTGCACCACAGGGAGGCCCCCCCCCCTTTTTTTTTTTTTTAAGATCTTCACTTTGTGCTCCAAGTGATTTCTCCTTGAATATGCAAATTCAAGGGAGTCCTGGTAGCCTCTCCTGGGGCTGTGATGGCTTTCTTCCAGGAGCGGACAGAGGAAGTGTGTATGTCTTCCAAGATCTTAGCCCAGGCCTCCTGGAGAGGTATCTGTGACCATTCTGAGAAAGTGACCCTCCCTGTGGCACTTACTGGCTTTACCACCTTGGATTTGGTGGGTTCTGTTGCTAGACTGTTCTCCTAGACTATGAACTGTTTGGACAGGAGTATGTTGCTGTTCAGGAAAAACTGAGGCCCAGGGAGGGCCCAAGAACCTGGTGCTTGGAGCCTATCTGGGTTTAAATCTTGATTTTCTTGTTTGAGACTTGGTCAGGGCTGAACACCCTCTTCCCTGCCAGTCCTGATTCTCCTCCTCTCAGGAATATGCTGTCCCAGTGGCCTGTCTTCTCTCAGCTCTATTCCTCTTCCTAGGGCCTGGGGTCCTGTGTAGCCCTCAGCCTTGTGCTTTTAGCCTTTGGTGCTGGTCCCCACCTGGAGGTGGTGTGGTCCCTGTAGAAGACAGGGGGCCTGGGCTCCTGCATCTGTAGAGTCTAAAGGAGTGACTGGTCTACAGGCCCTTGCTTGGGGGCTGTGCATCCATGAGTGAGCACGATGGACTCCTAGTGACATAAACTGACATTCTAGAGACAGAAAACAGATAAGAAATAGGTTGGTACAGAAATCAGCCTGAGAACCCATCAGGATCAGTGTCAGGAAGAAAATAAAATGAATAGTGTAATGATGGGGGAATGTGATGACAGAGGGACATGTGATGATTGGGGGGATGTGAATTTTGGGGGAGTATGACGATGGTTCTTCTGAAAGGATAATGATTGGGAGGTGCCAGATCCAAGGTCATCTGGTAAGGAGTCTTGTGGGGAGCAAGGAGGTTCTAGCTCGTCACATGCACAGGCCTGGAGACGTGATGGGTTGGGGAAAGTGTGGGGGTAGCTGTTCTGGACCCATGCTGCACAGGTGGTGGTTGTGTGGGTCTGGGCACATAACAGTGGAGCTTTAATTTAGTCCCTGTTCCTTCCCACCAATCATAGACTCTTCCTGGGGAGTATGCTTCCTGGCCCCAAGCAGGGTAACCTCTTGCTAGCCATATGGACTATTTGGCACCGTCCTTTGTTGGGACCAGACCCTTGTGAGCCCTTTCTCCAGCACATGTCATTCTCTTGACACCTTTGGCTAGAAGGCTGTTTGTTGAGGACAAACAGTTGAGGCTCTGAGGGGCAGTATTGTTGGCCCAGGATGCTTCTTGAGTTGGGAGGGATTTGGAGCCCCCAGGACACAGCTCAGAGGGGATCCCACTGTGGGCTGGAGTTCCCATTACACACTAATGTTCTAGACTCCTGTGAATCTTGTTGACATGAGTGGCCCTTTTATTATTATTTAAAAAATTTATTTATGCATATAAAAACTGGGGTACAGGCCAGAGGTGTGGGAGGTGAGAGGATTCACCAGAGACAGAGTGGGGAACAGAACAGTCAGATTGACCGAAGTACACTGCTGAGGGGAGCAGTGGGTGAGTCAGGAGAGGTCTGCCGCACCATGTTGGTATCTCCCTGGCCTGGGATTGAACTCGTGCTGCAGTGGCTGCAGACATCTTCATAGGCTGCATCTTAACCCCTTGCACCACCAGGGAGCCCCCATTATTATTATTTTTGAAAGATTTATTTATTTATGCATACAAGAACTAGGGTATAGGCCAGAGGTGAGGGAGAGGTAAGAGGATCCTCTAGAGACAGTGGGGAGCAGAACAGGCAGATCTACTGCCTGTTGAGGGGAGCTGTAGGAGAGATAGGAGAGGCTGTTGTCATGTGGATTAGCTGATCAGGCTAGTGCTGCAGTCACTGCCAACAACTTGATAGTGCTGAGACTTAACCCCTTGCACCACCAGGGAGGATGAGTGGCCCTTTTAATTTCTGAAGTTGCTGGCTGTGCCTTTCCCAGAGAAAGCTTAAAGGTGCCTACGATCAGCTTCTGTGGACCATGTGTGTGCATGAGTGCCTCCCCATTCACCCTTTCCACTCCCCTCCCCTGCTTCTGTCTCTCAGTTCTGAGCCTGGCAAAGACTCTGGGAATTACCTTAGGAATCTCTGGAACTGGGCTGGAATGTGTGTGTGGCCCCAAGTCTGTCACCTCTGAAGGGCTGTGGGTGGGCTGGGCATTGGGGTTGGGGTGGACTGACCCACGGGAAATAGGAGCCTGGTCCCCTGTCTCCTGCCTGCTGCCTGTAGGGTTCAGTCTGCTTGTGTAATATAAGGTGGGTGCTGATGGTTCTGGAGTAGGGTGTGCCTTTCCAGACGGCGCATGTTTCATGGCATGAAGAACCTGGGGTGTGGGGATTGTTGGCAGTAGGCTGCATGTGAGGCACACAGCCAGTGTGACCCTTGACTTGGGCTTCTGGCTGCATTTCCCTTTGCCAAGGTGATTGTGTGTAAACAGCAGGCTGCGTGCGGAAACCCACCCTCTGTTGACTCATCTTGAGGCCAGAGTTCATCACCTTTGAAGCGGTTTTGACATCAGACCCAGATTGTGACATCTTTGTGGAGTCCTTGGAAAATAAGCTGTTTCTCCTGTACCACATCCTTGGGCCAGAGCAGATCCTGGTTCTGGAAAATCGCCTCTCCTGGGGCAGTAGCACAGCTAGCATGATGGCCTCTCCTGGATCTT